CATGCTTGTTAGCAATGTGGCTGACCTTTGGTGATCGCTTACAGTCCCACAACTCAGCTGCAAAATTGAGGATGAAGTCCCATTCAGCCCGAGGGCTGTCGGGAAGGTGAGAGGGAACACACACACCGTACCTACTACACTGGCTCACAGCTCAGGGAGGGGTTAGAGTTGGTACAGAACATGGTCCCTGCAGGCTCTCCGGTTAAAGGAGAGGTGCTAGAAGCTCTAGGAGGTGGAGGGAGCGAGTAGCAGGAGGTATGCCACCGAAGGGGTCTCAGATACACACATATACATACACATACACACGCGCATACACACATTCGTCCCTCTCAGGAAGTTGTCACAACAAGAAGATAATACCTAACATCAGAAGTACACAACAGTCGGCGGTGCTGGCGCTTGCCTATAATCGCAGCACAGCCTGGTCTACAAAAGCTAGTTCCGGGACAGGCACCAAAGCTACAGAGAAACCTTGTCTAAAAAAAAAAAAGGTGCACAATAAAAGGCAGCTCGTGTGTGAGATTGTGACCAGCCGTTCTTACAGCCATTCAGTCCTGAAGCACCCCATTCACAGTTCACGGGAATCCTGTATAAGCATCTGGTGTTTCCCATCTGTGCAGACAGGTCGACCCGACCTAATGTCTAATGAGCAAGAACTGTGTTCTCCCATTCACATGGTGCCAGGCATGGCCAAGGCAGGTCATGGCTCAGGTTCATGGGAAATGACCCCCTGGAATATGACATAAAGTCTTCTGCACGGCTACATCCAGGTTCATGGGGGGAAGTGCTAATTCGCAGCATCTATCCTGGGCACACAGTGAGGATAAAATTGCCTGCAGCCCTGCAGGAGGCACTCCCTTCCCGGCTAAGCCAGCTCATCCCCCATGCTCTTCCTGCCCTTGGTGTGGGGGTTCCTGGAACAGGACCCCACTGACCTGCGTAGCTCCTTCCGGTGCTCATGTTGGCTGGCAGCAGCGTCCACTTGTCAGTGACGGGGTTGTAGTATTCCACGGAAGCCAGGTTGCAGGACCCATCATCCCCTCCAACCACATACAGGAGCCCGTTGACTGCACAGACCCCTGGAAACCAAGCAGAAGTCACAGGGTCAGTGGGAGCACCCGAGACCAGGACCCACGGGCAGCTGATGCCCGAGCCCTGCAGCCTCTTTCTCCAGTTTCTGTTGCCCAGCAGAGGTGCCACTTGGAGGTCTGAGTCCACTCAATGGAGGACCATGCTGGGCACAGCTACTGGGCTCTGAGTGTCCCCTTTCTATGGAGGCCGCTGCTCTCACTGGGGAGCTTTTATTACTATGTGGTCCTACAGATGCTCCTGCTGTGTCTCCTCCCCCAGCTGCTGCCACATTATAGAGTGAGCATTGTGGGTTCTCCCTGTGGAAACATTATAGAGACATGGCACAGGTCTCCCTGCAGGAACATTGCCTGTGGGTCATGCAGCCCTCCCCGTCAGCCTGAACTAGGGAAAAGACAGGATTCCACACACTCCCATATCTCTGCACCCTCATTCTTCCCAGCTGAACCACATGTTGCGTCCACCCCATATGCTGCTAGTGGCTGTGCCCATAACCCCTCTTAAGATGAGCGTCTGAATCCACACACATCTGGATTCAACTCAGGCTGAGGCTCCTTTCTCATTCTTATCTCCGAGTGAGCTTGTTTGATGGCAGGGTCTCATGAAGCAGGACAGAGGAGCAAGGAGATGTCATTTATATTCAAGACCTTAAAACACATAGTCCAGTAGATAGTGTTTGTTTCTGTTTTTGTTTTTTATATAAACACGTTTATTGCTGATGCTGTTAGGAGTAGTAACTAGCAATGCTGATTAAAGATACTCTCAATACCACTGAGAGCATGGAGTGTGCTGCCTTCCTGCCTGGGTGTGCACAGATGCACATGTACAGAAAACGTTCTTCCCCTGTCCCAAGATTCTACTTTTGGCTTTTTCTTCTAGAGAAATCATCTTAACTGTGTACATTGACTCAACTACAAGGATCATTTATAGCAACTACAGCATTATGAGTAGCATGGAAAATGAAGTATTCAATAATTAATTGTGTAAATTATGATATAGCCATGTTAAATGAGAGCATGAAGATACAAGATACACTTAGTGCTGTAATTAGACGCTGATGAGGAATGGAAAAGCAAGTTTTAAAGTAGTACTGTGGTAAGATCCATATGTTATTAAACAAATAGCATCTATGTGTGAGTGTTTATACATGCCCATGTCTATAACTGAATTCATAGACTGCAGGCAGACTTGCCTTACAGGCTCTGTAATTCCTTGCTCGTGTGGCTGAAGGCCAAATGCCAGCGCGCATCACAACAGGCTCAGGCAGCGAGCCAAGTGGTAATGCCCCTCTGTTTAAGCCTCCGACAAGACAGTCACACTGAGTTTAGCAAACAGGTAACGTGAGAATAAAGGAGCAAGTCTACCTGGCAGCGCCTTCCCGTCAGTCCGGCTGGGTGCGCCAGTGAAGCTGACCTACCCTTCCCCAGAGCAAAGGAGCCCAGAGCAAGGTCAGCACTGCAGGGTACAACTCAAAACAAGGTCGTAGGAGGAAACAGCTTGGCCGGGCTGTCAGGCCCCAGGACACGTGACCCTGAGTGCGCTGGATTGTTCCTATAGGAAGGATTCAAAGGGACACGGGGACAGGGGACACAAGGACGACAGTAAAGGAAGAAGGACACTGGAGGGTTAGGTAGGGTCTGGTTCCCCTGCCGTGAAGGAACTTGGACCCTGTGAAGTACAAGGCCATTTCAGTCTGGCACTGGCCGAGAAACAGCACCACCGTCTGGCTTGGGCCCACACAGCTACAAGGCTACAGGCCTAGCCATCGACAGGGCCCTGGGGAATCTAGGCATCAACCTCCACCAGGGAGAAGGGATGGTTCTGAGTCTCGGGGTGGAGTGGGGGTCCTATGGCCAGCCTTTGGGGTTCAGGTTCTCCCTCCTCCTAATGCTGAGCCTATGGGGCAAATGGCCTCTCTTACATTCAGGACACAGGCTCAGCTCCAGACTCTGACAACCCTGCCCCTCTCCCATCATCCAGAGCAATCACCTCCGGGGAGGAAAGCATTGTGGCCCTGAGAGGAGAGGAGAGAAGTCGTGTTACCTGCGTTACGACGGCACATGTTCATGTCTGCCACCTGCTTCCAGGTGTTTGTCCCGGGATCATAAACCTCGACACTCTTCCTCACCAAGGGCCCGTCGTGTCCCCCGGTGGCATACAGCTGTCCGCTGAGCACCCCAACGCCTGAAAGACAGAGCACACGGTCCCAGACTCGGGCCCGCTGGAAGAACCAGAAACCAAGAGGCCTGGTGTCCAGTGCTGGACAGCCATCACCAGCAGGGTGACTTGGGGGGCAAGTTCTCTCTCCCTGGACCTCAGTCCTAATGTGCAAAACAACACAATGAGATGCTTCCTGGCTCCTTATAAGGCAGGCAGCCTGGAAACACTGAGATCGATTGCCAACGTGACCCCATTTCTGCTTTTACGATGTAAATATGTGTCTGTGTACATATACACGGGGTAACAAAGAAATAAAAGAGTCAAGGATTCCACTAAGATGCGGAAAGTGGCTGCTTCTCGACAGTAAAATGACACCCGTTTCCCCTTCCATGCCTTGTTTTCCTTCAACATCTTATTATTCCGCCTCGTAGCCACAGAGCAGGGTCACTGAGGTCACCAGTGGGGAGACACGGCTGCCAGCCTGGTCCTTCAGCCCCTCTTCTCCTCGATAGCAGAAGGCATCAGACCTCTCCAGGGGAGGAGCTGCCCAAGATGAGCAGTCCATCGCTAGGAGACAAGGAGACAGAGGCCACAGAGGAGGAAAGGGGCACCTCGTGAGAGCAGCTGACCAGGAGACTGAGACGCCTAGACCTGCACTCTGCCATCCCCTCTGGGTGACCCTTTCTCTCTGCCATTTCTGGAGGGAGGGAGTTGGGATGATTCAGAAGTCCCATGGGGACAGGCTGCATCCCTTCTGCTGGGAACTTTCTGGAAAGCTGGGGCCTTAGTCCCAGAGACACTGGTCAGAAGTCCAAAAGAGTGTCTCAGTGAATGGGATGTGCAGCTAGGTTGTGGATCCAGGGCTGGATCTGGAGAGCACAGACTTCACGAGGCTGAGAACTGCTGATGTCTCGCCCTGACCTGTTCTCGAGGCTGCTGACGCTGGTGGTCTCTCAGCAGATACTACCTACACAGCAAGATGTCGGATCCAGCCAGTGGTTGTTGATGCAGGTCAGCCAGTGGTTCCCAGCAGTTGCCCTAAACTAGCAGCAGATGGTGCTGCTGAGCCAACAATGGCTGGCATCAGGTTGTGGGATTCAGAAAATCAGTAGGCGCCAAGCTGCTTCGCTTTCCCTTCCGGGGTCAGCAGCGGCTGGCACCTCCAGGACCCTGAAAGGCCCTGTTCCACACCATGTCCATCGCTGCTCACGCTGTCACTGCAGAGGGAGTCAGCGGTCGCCCAGCCATGCCCCAGCAGCTCTCCCACGGCCCTCACCCCTCGGCAGCCTGCTCCTAGACGCCACAGAGAGCCACGCTGGGCCTCGGGCAGCTGACACACAGAGCCTTTGGTCTCTAGATCCTTGGCTCTCACAAGCACCCACCATGACAAGCACACGGGCTCCCAGCCCTAGAGATGACATGTCCCCAACTGTTAGTATAGTGAAGCTTTGACCAAAGGAATCCGGGACAGGCTCCACAGAGAAAGGAATTTGGGGACAGGGCTCCACAGAGCTCCGAACACAAAGCTCATCTCAAGTCAAGGTCACTGCCCTCCCAGAAACAGAAGCAGCAGTTAATGACGTCATCTAGGGCCTCTAGCCAAGGATGGGCCAGGTGACTTCTGCCCCAGACACCTTCTGAGCAACTGGTGGGGAAAAGACATCGCTGTAGGCATGGCCGAAGCTGCAGGGCTCCACCATGGGTTGTATCAGGCCACGGTGTCAAGTTATCCCTGGCTCTACCAGAGGTTGTCTCAGTGCACAATGTCAGGTTGTCCCTGATTCTACCAGGGGTTATCTCAGTACACGGTGTCAGGCTGTCCCTGGTTCTACCAGGGGTTATCTCAGTGCAGGGAGCCAGGCTGTCATCCCTGGCTCCACCATGGGTGGCCTCGGTGCCCTCTGGCGGCCTGTTTCTATATATATAGGCCTTTAGCACTTGCTGTCATGCCCCAAGTCACCATACGGATTTTTAGAAGGTACAAAGAAGGTGCTAGAAGCTATAATTACTAAATGATCAGGAATAGGGGGAAATCACAGGATTTATGAATGGAAATGGTCCTTTGAGAATGAAGGCAGCCCATACATGACATGGCTGGAGTATTAAATGCCAAAGATGAGATCAAGCACACTCAGCTCTAAAGCTCAGGTTTCTGGACTTCATTCATGGGGGGCCAAGTTGTCAGGATTAGCAGAGACAGCTCCCCAAAAGAACTCCAAAAACATGCTTCTAAAATAGAATCATTCAGACTTTCAACTTCACAGCCCAACAATTTGTACACAAAACTTCTCTTTAAAAAAAAAATGTAAGCAGCCTAATTTTTACAGAATGCTAAGGATGGAGATATGTGAATGACATCATAATCCAGTCTCCAAGAGCAGATGGGGCAGAGGAGAGAATGTGGTTTCTCATCTCAGGAATCATGGGCCTTCCCACCAGCCCCAAACTGAGAATCAGCTCAGTCTCCAGGAGCCCCAGGAATTGTGGCCGAGGCCTTGCTTGCTCCCCCAGACGGTGAGCCCCTGGGACTGTGGAGGAGACAAAGGAGAGAGGAGGGGGCTGTTGCAGCAGCTCCTGAGTCCCTGGACTTCCCCACACGGCAGAAACAGAAAGCCGTTTGTGGAGTCATTTTCTCACCGTGTCAGAGAGGAACAAAGCAAGGGAAAGCAGGGAAAGGGACCTAGGCTTGTCTCCAGCCATAAACGCTGGGATGCTGGCTTTTAACTCCCAAGCTTCAGGCCAGCAAGCTGGGCTCATCAGGGCAGGGGCACCCGCCCTCCCTCCTGGGATGATGCCCACTGGTGGAGGACTAAAAAGCTTCACCCTGGAGAGAGAATTCTAAGCGAAAGTTTCTGATTCTGTACTTGGACAAAGTGATCCAACTCTGAGGTCGAATCAGTATCAGGAGGCCTTTTAGGACTGAGGTAAGGAGTAAGAAGACAAAGGCCTCGGCCGGGTGCACCTTGCCATCCCAGCACGAGGAGGCTGAAGCAGGAGGTTGTAAGCTTGAGGTCAGCCTGGGCTGCAGAGCGAGCTTCAGAGGATAGAGGGGGGATGTTTGTATCATAACAGCACCTGGCTCACAGAGGCCTGGACTCTCCAGAGATGAGGGTCCATGTACAAACAGAAGGGATGCCCTGGTGTGGCCAGGACTATTGGTGAGCTTGAGGTCTGCCTGGGCCATAGAACAGTAGTCTAAAACAAACAAAAACCAGCAGTAATAGAAAGACATATAAGACAGCACCCCTTCTGTACTGACCAAGGGGTGTCCCTGGGAAAGGCAGATCCCTGTGTGGGCACAGCTGTAGGTGTAGGGGTGGGATTACCAAAGGAAAAGAGAAGGGGTGTGGGAAAATAAGATGAAGTTCTGTTGTTTGTGTCTAGTCCCAGCCATGAGGAAAGTAGACACTGAATGTACCCCAGTGGTCTCCCGTACCCCCAGGCCCTCACGTACCAGCGCCACTGCGTCGGGTGCTCATGTCTGCCACATATATCCACTCATTGGTGGCTGGGTTGTACTGCTCCACGGTGCTCAGGCACTGCCTGGAAGCCCCATCGTAACCCCCGACAGCATACAGCTTCCCTGGAATAGACAAAGTGACTGAGGATGGTGGCGGTGGCACTGACTTGGAGCAGCGCGGCTCGGCTGGCGCTCCGTGCATAACCCACTGAGGTACCTTTGCCTCATTCAGAGTTCTCGGAGGACCCAGCTTGTTCTCCAAACACGGGGCATATTCCCCTCGCATTCCTGCCTTCTATCTGCTCTGGAGCCATGAGATACTCAGAAGCGATGCTGAAGCTCTTTCTAAAAAGGGGCCCAGGTACCCAGCATCACTGCAGTTCAAAGTAGTCTTGCTTGGACTACTAGGCTAAAGCACGCGGCGCTAGAAGCTATAAGGCTCTCAGTCATGATCACACACCCAACTGTCCGGCTCTAGGCTCACAATGACAAGCAAGAAGAATATAGGAGAATATTCTTTCATGAGAATTCGAGCCTGGCCCTGGTCACACCTCCAGAAACTCTGACTGGTAGCACAGGCAAAAGAAGGGTTCTGTGCACTCCGGGTGAGGAAGCAGGGATCTTTCTCCAGTCACCTCTGTTCCCAGAGCCATATCAGAACCCTGAAGCATCATCAACTACTTGGTTTTTTTTTTTATGTGCATTGGAGCTTTGCCTGCATCTCTGTGAGAGTGCCAAATACCCTGGAACAGGCAGGGATGAGCTGTCATGTCAGTGCTGGGAACTGAACGCAGGTCCTCTGGAAGATCAGTCAGTGCTCTTAACCACTAGGCCACCTCTCCAGCCCTTACCGACTATTTTTAAATAAAAATAAAATAACATTAAGTTCTTGTGGGAGAGTCATTCCCAGCTGAGGTTGGAGGATAGAAGTGGGGTACAAACAGAAAGGGGAAAATCTGACCTGTGTGAGAACAAGGATTCAGACACATGGGGCTTAAAGTTTATAGTCTTAGATACAATAGGAGATGGGAGAGAGGCCCTACTTCATCTATGGACATCAGATCTACAGGACACCATGACACTAGCTTCAGGGTAAATAAACACAGACATGGGCAAAGCTATTTAGCAGAATTACTCAATCAAGGATTCGGGGGTCAATATATCAGTCCCTAATACGGTGGGTACAACTAAGATTCAAAAATCCATGATTGTGTTGTTAGCTTCTCAGGTCCAAACAATGCCATAGCATCAGGGCTATTGATCCAGCAATTCCACTATCACAGGATCTTTTCTCTCTGCGTCTTTTCAATTGACGTTTTCCAAAAAGATCTCCTCCACAGCCCCTCCCCCACAAAGTCAAAGCTGACAAAGAAATACACTCAGTAACTTCTCCAGAGTGCAGGCCATGGGCACTGCGCTGGCTCTGGTGGTCCCATCTCTATAACACACCATCTATTCTGTTGAGCACATCCGTCTACACTCCAGCCCACACTGTACCTTGTCTTATGAGTGATTCTTCCAGGCAATGAGTAGTAAATTATCCTGCAATTCTTAGGGGTCACTCAGACTGCATAATCTTGATAGTGAGGTAACAAGACGAGGAGAAAGCCGAATATCAAACCCTTGTGAGGCACAGCCCGCTCCAGCTTCTCCTCCACATTCTCTACACCTGCAGGGCAAGCTACTGAACTGCACTTCCATAAGCAGGCACAGCAGCAAAAGCCCTGGTCCCCAGCAGTATTTTAAATCTCCACCCTCAAGGCACCTCCTCTAAACTTCGACCTGGTCCCAGCTAAAACCAAGGGCCATCCAAGGTCTCTCCTGGAGTGCATTCCCTACGGCCTGCTATTTTTAACCTCTGGTCAATTGTTTGATGTTCCTGGCTAAAGAACAAGAAGGGGAAGGAGAAGGTGACTGGACAAAGCTCTTGGATCTGGATGGCGGATCAGTTTCTTTCCCATCAAGAGAATGAGACCTTGAGAAGCAGCTCATCCTGGGAGAGGGACAGGATCCTGGCCTTGCCAAGATGGCTATGCTGGGAGGATATATCTTTAAGTGAAAATTTCAAACTACTAACAGTGTACAGGCTGAGAAGTGCGGGGAGAAAAGGCAGTCATCGTCTATGCTAGTCAGTTCTTGTCAGCTTGAAAGAGGGACCCTCAGCTGAAGAATTGCCTCCATCAGATTGGCCTATACGCATGTCTGGGGATCATTTTCTTGATGGCAAACTGAGGCAGGAGGGCCCAGCCCACCATGGGTGGTGCCATCCCTAGGAAGGTGGTACTGGGTTTTATAAGAAAGCAGCCTGAGCATGCCATGGAGAGCAAGCCAGTAAGCAGCACCCCTCCACGGTCTCAGCTTCAGTTCTTGCCTTGGGTTCCTGCTTTGGCTTTCCTTGATGGTGGACTGCGACCTATAAGCCAAATAAACCCTTCCTTCCCCAAGTTGCTTGTGGCCAGTGTTTTAGCAGAGCAAGAGAAAACAAATTAAGACACCACCTCACTGCATATTAGGCTCACGTGTGCATATATGCATGTGTACATATGGGTACCTGTGTATGTGTGTGCATGTATATGTGTGTTGGTGTACATGTATATGTCTTCATGGGTGCATGGTGCGGGAGAATTGTCTGTATTCTGTCAATTATATTTTAAATAAATGCTGATTGGCTGATAGCCAGGTGGGAAAACCAGACAGGAAGTAGAGGTGGGACAATGAGAACAGCTGCCCAGATCATGGAAGAAACAAGATATGACCTGCCCTGCTGAGAAAGGTACCGAGCCATGTGGCTAACATATATTAGAATAATGGGCTGGTATACGTTATAAGAGCTTATACGAAGCCTGAGATAATGGGCCAATCAGTTTATATCTAATATAGAATCTCTGTGTGATTTTCTTTGGGGCTTACTGGCTGTGGGAACTGAGCAGGACAGAAACCCCACAAGCAGGCCCTCATGTTACAGGTGCAGATGAAGTATCCATGCATATCTGGATGAGCAGACATCAGTGCAGACTAATGAATCTTCTTTGATCCATCATCTCTAACACTTTAAATCAGCTCATACTCTCTGCATTGGTACTGAGCTCACAAATGTGCACCCATCAGCATTTGAGGATGGTTTCCTGATCTAGATTAGGAGTCAGAAGACCTGGGTTGAGGCCTGCTCTGCTGTTTAACTGTCATAATACAAGTGCTTCATCGGCCCTCTCCGGAACTGTTTTACCAGTTGAGACCTAATGTTCTTCCAAAGGGCTTGGGAGAATAAGGAAGAGAAAGATGTTTTATAGATTTCTGAGTATTGTCTGGTCAGGTCTCGGGTCTCACCACTCCCTAACACCTGAGCCACACCCCACACCAAGTCTATCCTGAGACCTGAGATGTGTCAGACCTGAAGAAAATGAGCCTGCCTTTCCCATTGTCCTGTTAGCATGCAACACATGAAGGTGAGCAGGGAATTAACAAGTATAACTAACTCAGACCCTCGCTTTATATGTGCACCCGACTTTATATGTTGACTCTGGGCTCCCTACTTCCTTCCCATCCCCCACTGTTAGCAAAGATACTGACAGGTGTCACTCTCCCTCACCTCTCTGCTTTCTCTCCTGACCTCCTGAAGCCCTTCTTAGCCCTCTTGAGTCTCAGCCCTCCTTGTCTGTTAACTAGAGACAGTGAGACCAAACTCAGACCAGTGACCTGGATAACGGAGCCACAATAGAAGGAGCTTCAAGCACAATGCTGGACTCAGGACAAGGCCCACAGGTTAGGGCAGGACCAACCACCACCCCACCCTCTGCTGCCTCCTTACCCTCCACAACACCCACTCCCACACTGCTCCTCCGTGTGTTCATTGGGGCCACGAAGAACCACTCATTGGTCTTGTAGCTGTAGGCTTCTACTGACGCCAGACCTAGGGAGAAGAGAATCATGAAATTCCTACAGCCATGGGTCTCACCCTGCTGTATGGGGAACAGTGAGACCAGGAAAGGGCCAAGCCGGGACTACAGACTCGATGTTCAGCCTGGTACACCTCTGCCTATCATGTGGCTATGGTAACTCCTCAGGCTATATAAGGTGACCACTGACCACCAAGGTATGACATATCGGGAATCTGGTGACAGCAAGGGGTACATCTGAAGTGCACTATAGATGCACACATTAAAATTACAGAATGGAACCTTCGATCCCAAGTAAATACCCGAGGATGTCTCAATGAGCACCAGTCCAGATCCTTTTTCCCACGTCTTCTCCCACTTTACAAACTGGATGGCTAAAAACATACCTCCCGAGATCTGCTGCAGCTAGGCGTCATTGAGCCCTAAGTAGAAACCTGGTGGGAATTTCTGGGATGGTTTTCTCATTTCTGATACAAGGTGACCCCTTCCTGCTTCTTGCTACCAAGGACACAAATATCCTAGCTGGAGATATAACCACTATGAGGTTATCATGGGGAAAGCCAAGAGGATCTTAGAGAATTTGGCCCCGATATCCATGTGCAGTCAAACCGAGTTGGGAACAGTGGCCCCTGGACTCTGTGTTTCCTCTCTGGATACAACAAAACCCCCTTCACAGGCACCATAAGCAAGTCCTGCCGAAATAATCCCCAGTGCCCATCCTAGACCACACTCACTGAAGAGCCTTTTCCCTCCCTGGGGCCAAAGACTATCATGGTAATTTGGGTTGCCATCTTTGGTCATCTGCCTGACCACGTCAGTACAGATAACAATGTCTCTCCAAAGTCACAACCCACTAACAGTTCAGACTGAATGTGTATGGGCGTTCACCTCCATTTCTGTCTGTGCACCACATATGTGCGGGGCCCATGGAGGCCAGAAGAGGGCAACTGAGGCATGGTTATACATGGTTGTAAGCTGTCTGCCGCATGGATGCTTGGAAAAGAATCCGTGTCTTAGGGAAGAGCAGCTGGGGCTCTCTCCAGACCCTGGGTTGAAATTTTGAAGGGAGATAAAATCTGGGAGGGAGGTGCCCTCTGGGGGGCAATAGAGTGAGGTGTCCTCTGAGGGCAATAGAGTGAGGTGTCCTCTGGGGGGGGGCAATAGAAAGAACAGTGGCCAGTCCGGTAACTGTGCCTGCTCAGAGCCAGGTGAATTCCCCTTAAGCCACAGGTTCTTCAACGGCTCAGTAAGGTGTTCAGTCTAGACTCCTGAGGCTCTTCCAATGGGACACTCTCCCTTTCTCTGTCTGATCCTCTGAGGAAACAGGCTACTAGGCATGGGAGAGGTGAGAAGGGGCCCTTCTGACTGTGGACCTCCTCAGAACCCACCATATCACGGAGTAGCTATGGACTCGGTCCATACGAAGGCTTGCTTCTGGAGGACGGCAGTTAAGAGTTTGGATCCTGAAGGCCCTAGAGGCCCACATTTATGCTGATGTCTTGCCCTTGGGTAGTGGTGCTGTGGAAGTGGGGGGACCATTGGGAGAGGGTCCTTAGCCTCTGGTGGTGACGCTTGAGGCCTTCCTGTTGCTTCCTGGCTAGTGGATGTGAGCAGTTCCATGAGGCCACACTGTACCATGATGAACGGCCTCACCACAGGTCCACACAGGTCTGTGGACTTGAATCTGCACCGCTGTAAGTCACAAGGTGTCTTTTCTGTGAAGATTACATCAGTATTTCCTGACAGTGAAGGAGAGCTCACTGATTCCAACGGGTTCATGCCTGGGGCATTGCTGCAAATGCCGGAGGCTAGCACAAGACCTGACCCAGCAAAGCCAAACCCGCCCACACTCCCTGGACCTACCGGTGCTGCCGTCAAAGCCTCCCACTGCATAGAGGAGGTCATTGAGCACCGCTGCACCCAGTGTGCTCCTGCGCTCCTGCATGCTGGCAATGGACGTCCACTGGTCCTTCACGCCGTCATATACATCCACTGTCCGCACCCGCAGAGAACCGTTAAAGCCGCCCACAGCATATACGTGGCCAGCCATGAACACCACCCCTGAAACGGGAGAAAACAAAGTGTGAGAGTCAAGAAGGGGGCCGCCTGTCCAAGCTGATGTCTGACGTCAAGGAAGCAGGTGTGCTTACCACCCACTCCCGATGGAAGACCACCTCCGTCTCTAGGTATCTGCGAGGAACTATGGGACTCTGATTTCTTCTCCTATTTGTTTCTCTAACTTTACCTGGTTTGAGTAAACTCATGAATTGGCTTAAACCCACAAGCATGTAAGAACTGACCTCAGAGTAAACAGTCACAATGTGCTGTGTGCGCCTGCGGGTGGGAGGGGCAGGGACTCTGCAGAAGGAGCCACACAAGTCAGAGAGAAGCTGAGGAGAGGCTGCTTGGAACCCAGGAGTGGGGGGGCTGGGGCCACTTACCTGCTCGGCATCTCCTGGAAGGAAGCTCAGCTATCTGGTCCCAGCGGCCCTCCTCAAAGTCATAGCACTCCACGCTGCGGATCGCCTTGGGCGCCTGGCCACCAACCACAATCATAACCTCCAGAAAGACAAGCACACGTTAACTAGATCCGCCCAACACTCACGGGAGTGGGTGACCAATCTGTGGCCTATCCACGCGCTGCCTGCCAGTTTGCAGAGTTACACACAGAAAGATGCGGCCCTAGTCACTGAGGGCGGTTACATAATCACGGAAAGACAGCCAAGCACCACAGATAGGCCCGCACTTTGCAAACACGCCTTCTCTGGGTAATGCCACAGTAAGGAATGCATCTAATACAATCTCAGTACGCACAAGAGGGAGGCAGAGGAGCACAAGTTTTACATTGAGACAAACAAATATATTTGAGGTGGGAAGCCCAGATTCTGGGTACATTTTTAGGATACTATATTACTCATAAATTTTTCTGAGTATCTGGACTGCAGAGGGTACCCAGTACCTGCGTAAAGAAAAAAATAACATTTTTTAAGCACTGCTTGGTGGCAGTTATCGAAATAGGTGACTGACAGCTCTGCAAGACAGTGCTCAAAGGGCTTTCGTTTCCCCTCCAAGGGGAAGGGCATAGCTAACACAGCGAGGCACACGAAGTGTGTTGTCATTTGCTTGTCAGTATTATTGACAGATGAGGGATGTAAAGAAGTTCAGAAAACACATATAAACAGCCAGAGGTCACTGTACAAGGGGAGGCAGAGCAGGCAGGGGAACCCACAGCCACCTGACCCAGAGGGGAGGCTGCCATGGCTTCTCCTCCGCATCGACGCTGCCCCCTGCATGCCGCCCTTCATTTGGGAGTCACAGAAACCACTTCAGTGGGTCGTGAGCAGAAAACATCAAATTGAACAGCACAGAAAATACACAGCCAGGGTATTGGTTTATGAAATATTTGTTCTAGTTATACACATTTGGGCATATATTTTGAATAGCAATTCATATGTGTTTCTTTTTTTATCATATGTGTTTCTGCTGCAGGGTGTGGTCAAACCAAAGGAAAGCCACGTTCTCACCGACCTAATGAGCTGTACTGACTCGCGGCATCCACACTCTCAAGCCATTATTCATGCTATTAAATAAATAAGAATCAAAATGGCAAAGATAACAATAGCCTTGATATTTTGATAAACTTGGGTAAACTCACACTGCCCCCACCATGATAGTACCCCTTCCTGGCATTTCCACACCCTTCTTAAGAGGTGGGGACGAGTGGAAGTCTCCGCTAGCCAACGTATGCCACGGGGTTGAGCACAGCCTGAAGCCTGTCTTGTCCACCTGCCCGTCCTCACACAAACTGCGGGGCCCCACCCTGTTTCCAGTTTAGCAAGTCCAGGATTTGTCTGAGGATCTGTTTGCAAAATGGCCCAGGAGATGCCAAGGCTCTGCTCTATAGAACTCAGGCAGTGAGAAGCATGGTTTTGACCCCTGGCCTGCGGGAATTTCTTAATGGCACGCCGTTAACAATGTCTGCCACGCTTTCTACTTCCTCACGGCGTGTTACTGAAGAGAGCTGGGGTCGTCTATGCGGCCATGTGCATTGACAGGAGTGCAAACCTCAGGGACAGGAAACACCCAGACAACAACCATTACACACTGTCAGGCGTGACACTGATTCCCTGCTGCCCGTGTCATTGGTCACTGCTCATTAGAATTGGTTTACAGGGTCTGTGACCCAAATACAGGTCACAAACTCTTCAAAGCTCAGGAGTCA